AGGAGTTCAAAATCACTGGAATGGGGAGGGTAAAACTTGGAAGGAGTTTGTTAATCATTGAGGAATAAGTTCAGATAGGTAAGCAACGTCCCTAGGGTGTCTGGCCTGACAGTGGAGTCTCTCAAGGCCGTGGGCAATTCAGATGAGGGGACTTGTTGTTGGGGAGAGAGCTAAAGAAATGATATTTCTTCTCTTCCTTCAAAAACAGGAGACCAGGCAGGAGATCAAGTGTAGCCTTTCTATCCTATCCTACTCATCCTTATGCTCCCATAAGTTTGCCACAGTGAATCCACTCAATGTGCTGGAGGTTTCCCTTTCTCCTAACATTTTGAGGATACCAGTGAAGCTGTCTGGTTCTCTGTCCATCATCATCCTTACTGTGAGAGCAACCTACCTTCTCTTTCTAGCATATAATTCTTTGATGATATCTTTTATTCCTGTTCTTATTTAATGTTCCTCTTTGGTTATATGTTGCACACTGTTCAAATCTACCATGTGCTTCTCCACTCTGTTCAAAGTAATAACTTACTTCTATTTCTTTGCAGGCAGTTGTAATCCATATCTCACTGCCATATAATAACAATGGTAGAATATTTAGATTAAAAAGTTGGACTTTTGTTTTCAGGGAAGCTTGAGATCCATAAAGGAGCTTCACAGTTTCTCAAAGGCAACACATCCAATTCACCTCATGCTGTTCAACTCTGGCCCCAACTCATTGTTCTTCTGTACTTTAAGTCTTACATTCTGAAGTTCAAGCTCTCTAGGGATTTCCTTCGAACATATGGGGCAATAGACAGTCTTCATACACTTAATCCTTTCTTTGGATCAAATTCCTTTGAGTAATTACAGCTCTTTTCCAGAAGACTCTGAAACGTTCTGGGGCTTGACACATTCATTACAATATCCTCCTCAAATAAGGTAGACCTTACCATCTACCAGGAATCCTTCTTTATCCTAGTAGTTTCTTTAACCTGTCAAAAATGGAAATGAGGTTTAAACTTTAAATTTAGTACAAGATGATCTGTTCTTGATAAACCCATGTTGATTCTTAGTAATCAACTTTTCAAATCAGTGCTACATAATTGTTAGCTAGCTACTATTAGGAAGGAAGTATAATTTTCCCCATTTTAGAGATAGGGAAATAAAAGTTTAAAGTAATTAAGTGATTTGTCCAAAGTCAATTCAATAAAGCAATAGGCTACTTGTAAATAGAACCCATATACTAAAGCCAAGTTTTGTCAATTACAGTTCTTCTTTATTAAGTCAACATCAGCATTTTCTTCCACTTTGGAAGATTCTATTTTATTTCTTCAACCTTGAATGAATATGGAAAAATAACAAATAAAAATTCTAGAGTTATAGAATTTAGTTATTTGGCACTGGCAGTTCTTTTGGTACTTACATTCAAGCCAAAAAAAAAAAGGTTTGTAAGGTTGTACACAGTTTAACAGATGTTAACAGTCTTTGAAAAGGAATAAAAAGTCTATACTCTAAAAGTCCTGTTATTACTAATTACTAAAAAATTAAGTCCACAAAATTTTTCTGTGTTTAATCATTTTTGTCTAATGCACCATTGAATGTATTCAGCCTTATATATTTTGAGATAAGTAAGTATAAAGAATAGAACTAGGAGCAGTGCGTGGGAGTTGTAGAGGCAGATTTATGTAAAAACTTTCTAACAGCTGATCTAGAATGGACTTCCTCAAGTTGATGAAGTAGAAAGGGGACTGATTCCAGAGTTCAAAGATCTGGGTCCAAATATTCCATCTCCGATGCTTATTACCTTTGTGACTTTGGACAAGTTACTTTATTTTCCTGAGCCTCTCATTCAATAAACGTTTATTAAGTACCTATGAGCCACGCACATAGGGCAGCTAGGTGGTGCCTGGAGTCAGGAAGACTCATTTCCCTGAGTTCAAATCTGGTTTCAGATACCTACTGGTAGTGTGTCCCTGGGCAAATCACTTTACCCTGTTTACCTCAGTTTCCACATCTGTAAAATGAGCTGGAGAATGAAATAATATACCACTCCAGTATCTTTACCAAGAAAACCAAAAATGGGGTCATGAGGAGTTGAACACAACTAAAATGTGTGAAAAACTGTACTTGTGACAAGCACTGGGGATACAATTAAGAAAAAGAAAGATAGTTGTTTTCCTAAGGAGCTTACATTCTAATGGGGAAGACCACACACACAAAAGGAAGTTAAAAGGGGAATGGTATGGAGAAAGGTAAAGGGGAGATGGGGATAATGGGGAACTCCAAAGAAGTCCAGAAGTGCACAGAGTTGAATGGGAGATGAAAAGAAATGGCTGGCCTGGTCCCCCACCTCAAGTGGAGGATCTGAGGTTCATGGCTCCACCCTCCAATCACAAGGGAAGGAGCAACTTTTGAAGTATAAGTATCAAGGCTGATTAGATCTATCAGGATGATGAGATTTTCCCAATTCTGAGGTTCCTGGGGGCATAATGGGGAAGAGTAAAGAAGTCCAATGAAAGTGAAGAGGAATTAAGACACCTCTTGATGAGAGTAATAGAGGAGCTTGAAGCTTAAAGTAAAAAAACTAAGATCTTAGCAAGTGGTCCCTTACTTCCTGGTAAATGGTCTTGGTGGTCTTTACCCTAAGTTCTCCAAAAGGATCATAACATCAGGAAAGTAATACCATGACTTGCAAGTGAATTGGAATTAAGAGATGGCTGTGCAAAGTCACTAACCCCACTCTCTCCTCCAGAGCCATCTGGGTCCAGTGGCAAGATATAGATCAGAACAACTGGAGATGGTCCCCTCCTGTCAAATAGAGGGAGACAAAATGGAAGCAGTGTCAGATTTCATATCCTTAGGCTCAAAAATCACTGCAGACAGTGACTGCAGCCATGAAATTAAAAGAGTATGCTCCTTGGAAGGAAAGCTATGGCAAATCTGGACAGCATAGTAAAAAGCAGAGACATCACCTTGCCAACAAAGGTCCATATAGTCAAAGCTATGGTTTTTCCAGTAGCAATGTATGGTTGTGAAAACTGGACTATAAAGGAAAGCTGAGTGCCACAGAATTGATGCTTTCAAATTGTGGTGCTGGGGATGACTTTTGAGAGTCCCTTGGACAGCAAGGAGTCAATATCAATCATTCAATACTTAAAGAAATTAATTTAGGGTATTTACTGGAAGGTCAAATATGGAAGCTGAAGCTTAAATACTTTGGCACAAAGACAAAAACCTATTGGAAAAGGCTCTGAAGTTGGGAAAGATTCAGGGCAAAAGGAAAAGGGGGTGGCAGAGGATGAGATGGGTAGAAAGTATCATGGAAACAATGAACATGAACTTGAACAAATTTCAGTAAATAGTAGAAGATAAAAGGGCCTGGTGCTCTATGGCCCATGGGGTCACTGAGACATGTACAGGACTGAAAGGCTGATCAACAAAAAAGTCCAAAAGAATGCAGAATCTGGGTGAAAAATGAAGAGATTGCTGGTGTGGGTCCTCTCCTTAAAGGGAAGGATTTGCAGTTCATGGCTCCACCCTTCAAACCTATCCGCAGAGGGTATTAATGAGGTATGTGCACCAGGGCTAATTGGATCATCTATAAAATGAGGAACCCCTGAGAACTCTGCCAGCTTCTATGATTTTCTAAGATCCTAACTGGACAGCCCCAGGTGGAAGGTGGGGATGAGAGGGGGAGGAGTTCTAAAGGAGATTTCAGTCAAGGGTTTGATTTGATGACCTCTGAAATCCTGGCATAGTTATATGTTACTATTCTAATGGCAGTTACGTATGCTAGACTGCAAATTCCTTGAAGGCAAGTAATCTGTCATTTCAACTTTGAATCTTTCCCTGGTTACCTGGTGGTTGTTGTTTTTCAGCCATGTCCAACTCTTTGTGACCCCATTTGGGGTTTTCCTGGCAAAGATACTGAAGTGGTTTGCCATTTCCTTCTCCAGTTCATTTTACAGACGAGGAAATGGAGGCAAACAGGGTTACGTGAGTTGCCTAGGGTCTCACAGCTAGTAAGTGTCTGAAGCCAGATTTGAACTCATTATGAGTAGTCTTCAAAACTCCAGGCACGCCACTCTAACCACTGCACCACCTAGCAGTCCTGGTTACACTTCATAAATATTTGTTGAACAAACAAAATAATGCATTTATTGCCGTATATGCAACTGATGGCAAACCGAAACAACTGCAGTCATAAATGAACTAGAACACCAAAACGACGTAACTAAAGGCTTTAAGAGTTTTCATTCAGAGACCACTGCCTTACATAGCACCCTTCACACAGTAGGTTTTTAATCAACGTTTTGAGAGATTAACCTGGCGAAAACGCCCAAACCAGTACACACAGGAGCTTCCTCCACCTCCCGCCCCTACACACAGAGACACACGTGCACACCTACAAGCACAAACACCGATTCTCACTCGTGATTACACTAGATATACTCTCATTCCCACTGAGGCTACAGAAGAAGTGAACGCAAACGCTTGCAGCAAGAACCAGTTCGACCACTCCCGCCAGGGAGGCGACAGCCCCGGGAGGGGTTGGGGTTGGAAGAAGAGGACTGAGGGGTGGGGGCGCAGAAGGGCCAGGCCTGGGAAACTTGGGGAGGGGACGAGGGGCGGCGCCCTGGCTCACGTGGGCGGAGAGCAGCTGAAGGTCCGTGCTTGAGGCTTGGCTGTTCTCTCGGGCTGAGTGCTGGCTGAGGAGGTGGCTTGAGAAGAGGAGGAGGAGGAAGAAGAAGAGGAGGTGGCGGTGGCGGAGACTGTGGCGGTGGCTACGCCCGCGGTGCCGGAGGCAGGAGGAGGAGGTGGCGGCGGGGAAAGGAGGGAAGACCAGGGGGAACAAGGGCAGCGTCGGACTGGGGACTGAAGAGGCGCGAGCTGCCCGGGGCGGTGTTGTCGGCTCGCCCACCCGCCCGCGCCCGCTCGCCCGGCCCCTGCGTACACCCTGCAGCTCTCGGTGCACCCGGTGTCCGTGCCCCAGCGCGGAGCGCGCCCGGGCAGCCCCCTGAATGACGGGTGGAAGGTTCGACTTCGACGATGGCGGCACCTACTGCGGCGGCTGGGAGGAAGGCAAGGCGCACGGGCACGGAATCTGCACGGGGCCCAAGGGGCAGGGCGAGTACTCGGGCTCCTGGTCGCACGGCTTCGAGGTGGTAGGTGGCTACACCTGGCCCAGCGGCAACACGTACCAGGGCTACTGGGCACAGGGCAAGCGCCACGGGCTGGGCGTGGAGACGAAGGGCAAATGGATGTACCGGGGGGAGTGGTCGCACGGCTTCAAGGGGCGATATGGGGTCCGGCAGAGCCTTTGCACCCCCGCCCGCTACGAGGGCACTTGGAGTAACGGGCTGCAGGACGGGTACGGCGTGGAGACCTATGGCGACGGAGGTGAGTTGCGCGCGGGCAAGCTCGAACTGTGTGTGTCTCTGTGTCCATATGTACGTGTGTGTCCCCAAAAGGTGCTATGGTGTAAGCCCGACTGGCACTTCCCTTCCTAGTCTCGGCGCCAACTAAGGCGGCTGGAATTGGGGAGGGCTCGGCGCGCGCGCGCATACACACGCGCACACAGAGACACATACATACACACACACGCACTCACGTCAGGAAAGCTGCCCAAAACACCTGGAGCTCCTTGCTCAACAATCCCCTACCACCCCCACCTCGTCCTCCAAGAAAAAAGGAAGGAAAAAGTTGCTTTTCTTTGGGACTGGTGCACTTGGGGTCATGGTCTGTATACCTTTCTGTCCTTCCCTCGGTCCCGGAGGAGGTGGTGTGTCCACTCCTTGGGGTTACGTGGCTTGAATGTACCTGACATAACGTCAGGTCCTCACTGCCAACGGGAAGGCGGGAGGGCCAGCCTCCACCCCCGCTCAGAGCTCTGGCCCCAGAGAGCTGATATGGAAGGGGACTGTCACTTGAGATTGTCACATTACGTTCCCGATCTGTCCCAAACCCCTCTCCCAAGCACTCCTCCTGGAGAGAGATTGAGCGAGCGCACTTAAAAGCCCTGGGGTTTGGCGGCTCCTAGGCCCAGCGTATTGCTGTGGAGACCTGTAATCTTCCCCAGACTGGTCACACAATATTTTACTAACAACCTGGTTAACTCTTCGAAGTGGGAAACAGAACCCAGTAATGGGGGAAGGGAGCCTAGGATAATTATGCATTTTTGAGTACATTTTGCCTTATTGTAGGCAGCAGGGAGGAGAAATGAACCCCCAGTACAGTTTAGTGGAGGGAAGGAGGGGTCCCAGATATCACTTAAACTTAGTTCTCAAACTAGTCTCTTAAACTAGCATAATTTATTGCTGGATTGGAGCTCCAAGTAGGAATTACCTTGTTATTTAAAAAAAAAAAACAGCAAGCCTTTGTCAACTAGTGAAAAACATACAATTTCAGAAGTAGAAAAATGTATATCCCTGTCCCTAGCCCAGGGTTACATTGTCATGACTGAGTTAGAAAGAATTCAGATTACTCATTCTCAATGCCAACAGTGAAATCACTAATATTTTTTCTAGTTAGTTGTTGCAACCTAAACACCATAGAAGGCAATGAACAAACTTACCCTATGTTAATGTGCATATAAACAACCTAGGCAAAACTGCTAATAAGGCAAATTATTCCTTTATTATCATTCTGAGTTAAGAAAAATTTAAATCATTAAGATACAAGTCAATTGGTCTTTATTAGAAAGTTTAGCTAAAGATGTCTCCCATGTACTTTAACAAAATAACATAGTCTGAATAATAATATAAATTACTAGTTTCAAACAATTATTGTTTTGAGGCCAAGTCAGATCTAAGAGTTTATGCTAAGACTTGTAGAGCTCTTCGGAGTTGTCAGATACTTAAATGAATGCACCTCAAACCCATTACAGTATCATTCATACTTACCTATATGAAAGCTTATCCGGTTGAAGCTTGTCTTACTTAAGAGAATATAAGTAGTGTTAAAATTGGAAGTCCAAATAGTTTGCATGTTCCATATATAAAATGCCCAACCTTTAAATTTTAGGTTACAGTAATTATTAAATTATTTCAGTGCATTGGGGGGATAAGTAAGAGAAGGATGTGTGAAAGAAGGGTGCAGTGTTTCCTATAAATGGCATTATTATTTGGTAGGCATATAGGTAGTGCAATGGAGAAAGCAGTGGGCCTAGAATCAGAAAGACTGGAGTTCAAATCCAGCCTCAGATACTTCCTAAGCTGTGTAACCCTGGACAAGTCACTTAATTTGTTTGTTTCAGTTTCCTCACCTGTAAAATAGGTGTAATAGTAGTCCCTACCTGCCAGGGTTGTTGTAAGGATCAAATGAGATAATAATTGTAAAGGGCTTAGGCTGGTACACAGAAAGTGCTATATAAATATTAGCTATTATTATTAGTTGCCTTTATTAGAGGCTTAAGGTCAGATGTTCAAGCTCTGATGTTCAAATACCAATTAAGCAATTACCAGTTAGTTTTCTATTCAAAGCTCCCAGAATAGAATGTGAAATTTATTTGCTAAATGTAATAGGTAATTTCATTACTCCAACATTCTCATACATTGTTAAAATTTGCTGTGAGTTATTTCTTGTATTTTTTTTCTAAAAATTAAAATTCTTAGGAGGCAGTGAAAAAATTTGAGGGAGGAGGAGGGAGAAGGATGTAGTTACCATAGCTTAATCATAGTATAAACTGTGAATTACTCTTGGTGAATTTATGCTGATACCAAGGTGCATTACATAATTCATAAGTTTAGGCCATTTGTGATACCCGAATATGTTTCATTTTCTAGTAAGCAAAATAATAAAGGAACATTTTAATATATATAATATTGAAGCCCAAGTACGTATCCAATGTAGCTTTTTATTAAAAGTCTCCCCTTGTACATTGGGACTATCTACTGTTTTAATGTTAATTTGGGAATTGTCATGTTTAGACACCACAATATCTTGAAACTTAACTTCGCCATAATGAAGAGATCTTTGAGAGAGACAGAGACAGAGAGACAGACAGAATGAGAACAGATAGATGATCTATCAGCAACAACATTATTTGCTACAGCCACTGTTGCTGTGTACAAACACTGCTGGTGTGTCTGAATTAAAGAATATCGACATACTTTTTGTAAAGGTTCTCTCAAGATAAAAGATATAATCAACCTTGAAAATATTTTTCAAAGCCTTTCAGATCCTTTGAAATGTGATTTATAATAAACAAAATCAGATGGCAGATCTATATTTGCTTTCTTTTGTCTTTGCACATGCTTGCATTTGTGCCCTTGACCGTGTAAGCACTCAATAAATGCCATTAAGTTCTGTGGTTATTTTGATTTTTTTTTAAAGTAAGGGACATTATGGTACAGTGGAAAGAGTATAAGTATTATCACCAACATCTTTTTTCTACAAATTAGGAAACTGAAAATCAGAGTGGTTAAGTGATTTGTTTATGATAATACAAGTAGTAACTAGCAGAACCTGGATTTAAAGGAAGGTCTTTGATTTCCAAATTCAAGGCCCTTTCCACTGATCTGTGCTATATATTATAATAGTTCCATAAGAATTATCTCATAACTTTTCTTAAAAATCAGCAACATATCTGAGTGCTCTTGAGCCTAGCCATTTTATACAAAGTAGGAAATGTTCTCTAAAAACTCAACATTGTAATTAAAAATAGGTTAAAACTTCACTAACCAGTTACTTAGTTTTAAAGCACACCTTTTCTTAGAGATCCTTTTACTGACTTCTGATCTATCAGGGATCATAGATTAAGAGCTGAAAGGGACCCCCTAGGATATCTAATGTAGTCCATCCCCCTCATTTTACATATGAGGAAACTGACTTGCCCAAAGTCCCACAGGTGGTCCGGTCAGAGATGGGACATGGATCCAGGTCCTCTGACTCCAGAGCCAGTGCTCCTTCCACTGCACCACACTGCTCAATTGCCTAATGCTTCCTGTGCACATTTCATTGTCTTTTCATTGGGTTTCTACCCATTATAAAACATTCCTGTTGAGAAAAACTTGGAAGAAGCTATTTCTACTAATGTGTAGCATACAAATATGTAACAGAGAAAGGTCAAAATCTCACTGTGATTGCAGGTTGCTTTGAGCCAAATACAGTTTAGAATGCTTTAAACTAGAAAACAGGATTTAGTGAAACAGCTAAACTAATAGCATTGTACATAATTTGTAGTATCATTTTTTTCTGAAAATGTTTCCACACTTGTAAAATTGTTTCTAAAGTAGTAAGAGAAACCCTTTCTTTTCTCTAGTTTTGTATATCATATGAAAATCTATTATATCAGTTCTGTATCTCAGCTTTTCTATGTTCAGTGCATATAATTGCATAGGATGTGAAGTGTGCTAGTAGAGTTATCTAGTAGTTCAGTACAGCCTAGCTCTTGTAATTACTGTTGTTGCTTCAAGGCATTTCCATATTTAAGTTGTGTCTCTCTTCTTTCTTGAAGTATGCCCAGGTTATTTAAAAATTTTTGGTAAGGTATAGTTACTCCAATTTAGTTGAATAGCAAACCATATATATTGTAATTTCGCCCTTGAGTTTGAAAACACTGAAATAAAGTCTTTTGAATATTTGCTTTAAAAATTCATCATTTACATCTATCACCATTTTGGAAATTATTCCAGTAAAAATTAACTCTGCTTTTCTTAAGTTAAATGTTAGAATAGGAAATACATGTTTCTAATGCATCTTATTCAAGAACCGCAAACTGGATGTTATATTTTTAATCACTAGCTCAGGTTTTACTATCATCCTAGATGTCTTAGACTATGTACAAAAGCAAATGAAAATGGTGAGTTAAAATTTCTAGATAATTTTGCCCCTCATTCTAAGAAAACTCGAGCATGAAATGGTGGTTTCTAAATCACTGTCTAGTGATAAAAAGCCATAATACAAACGTTCACTTAGCACATCATTTTCATAATGTTATTGTGTATATGTGACACACATTCCTGTATGAGAGATGAAAAATTCAGTCATTGAAGTAGACAATATGTATGGCATATTGGAGTTGTATAGGTGAACTATCAAGAACAGTGACAGAATAAATGTTTTTACATTTAGGATTCCAAGACTCTAAATATTTAAGAATGAGGATTTCTAATGTTATGGTTACAAAACTAAAGAAAGGTAGACTTTCTTCATATAAGACTACAAACATAATGTATTTATGAGCTATAATGAGTAATGTGATTGGAATTTTGTCTTTTTAAAAATAGCTAAAATATCCCTTAATTTTTATTTGGGAGTGGTTGGGTGAGGTCCTAGAATTTAAGAGATAGTATATTCCATGTATAGGCTCTCTCTGTCTTATTTAAAAGAGCTGGCTTTGATTTCATCACCCTACTAAAAAAAAAAGATTCTGATCAACACACAAAGATAATAGAGTAATTGCCCTGGTTTTTACATTCTCATGGGTATCTGTTTCCTTCTAAGAACCAAACAATATATGTCACAATTAGGTTACAATTTTGATCTCCCTTATATAAATTAGCAATATAGAATTTAAAGTATTTCAGATAATAGCTCAATATTGAAAAAGAAAAAAACTCATCAAAAGTGCTTTAAAATTGCTAAAGCCTTGAGTATCTCTCTTTGATGTCTCCCTGTATTGCGTTTTGTAATGGTGATAGTACTTTTGTTTTTGTTTAAAGCAAAAAAAAAAAATTGTTTCACTACTTTGTTATCTAAGTGGTTGGAAGTATATGCATGTATGATTTTCTTTTAAATCAGGTGAAAAAGTAGAAATGAGCATTTTCAGTGACTAAATATTGAGTTGAATATGCATATCATGAATTGAGCCTTTTATAGGGAATTAAGGTAAATTATATTTTGGATAATCTATTTTCTGTTGGTTTACAGAAGAAACTTATTTAGAAGATTGCGAATGATAAGATATTATGTATTTACTTAGTACCTGTAGGTAACATGACACCCCAACTAAGAATTTGGGGAATTTTGTGTTAATTAAAAAGAAATGATCCCTATCCTCAAGATGGGGAGGTAAGATGAAATGAATAAGTCAGGTGAAAATTAATTAGCATGTGCATGAGTACATCTAAATCTATAAATACACACATATATGCATGAATAGATGTTATTTAGATCATTTGGGAATGCCTCATAAAGAGATGGAATTGGAATAGCTATTGGAAGGACATATGATATGTAATTGAGCAATGGGTTATTAAATAGACTTATATCAGAATTATGAGGGAAAGGAAAGAAGAAAAAACTTAGACACAGGAAGAAAACAGGTGTACATGTTTGGAAGACAACAGGCTGGAGATGAGAACTAGGAAGTGTGATTATTTAACAGTTGGTTTTGAATAGATTTGAATAAGGGTATGATTTAAGGGGAAAATTTATTTAATTGCTGCTTATGACAAAGCTGTAAGAGGTTTGGAGCATATTAGTGAATAATGTCATGCATTCAACAAATATGTATTATATGCCTTCTATGCAGCAGGTACTAGGTTCTCACTAGACAAATGCAAAAATGAAATAGTTCTTGCCTGTGAAGGAGGGAAACATACCAATATAACTAAATATATACAAAGTCATTTCCAAGGGAACGGGCCTTACCAACTGTGAGGATCAAGACAGCCTTGTGGTGCTTGAGCTAAGCTTTGAAGGAAGGTGATTGATATGCTAGATGGCAGAGGTGGAAAAGGATGGTATTCTGTGTTTAAGAGACTGTTTGGGATTGGGACTGGAAATGTAGGATCTGGTACAGGGAATAGCCTGTCTGGCTGAAATGTAAACTGTGTGAAAGGAAGTGATGTGCAATAAGTCTGAAAAGGTAGGCTAGACCTAGATTTCAAAGTACTTTAAATGCCAAACAAGAATTTGTATTTGCTCCTAGAGGTTAATAGGGAACCACACTAGTTTATTTAGCAGGGGAATGACGTGGTCCTATCTGTGCTTTAGGAATATTGCTTTGGGCTAAAGAGATGCTAGAGGGAGAGAGATCAATTAGGAGGCTATTGCAGTAGTCAAAATGAGAATAAAGCATTATATGGGTGGAGATAAGGGTTGGACTGTAAGTAGATAAGAGAATAATATAATTTAGTAGATATTTGAATGAAGCGGGGAAAGTGTTCTATCTAGTGATACCAAAGCTTGGTGAAGAGGACAATCTGTTACCTTTGAAAAGTAAAACAGTAAAAGGAGATGATTATGTTAGTAACTTTCACATGGGGATACTCTATAGATAGTAAAGGGTGCGGTCAGGGTGGGAGGTATTTGAGTTGCTATGTACTAGTTTATTTGAAGCCATCAGAATGAACAGATGAAATATCTGAAAGAAGGAAAAGTTTAAGAAGCCTAGTGTTGAATTTTGAGTAAGAAAGACTAGAGGAAAAAAGAAGAGTCAGCAAAGGAAACCTAAAAGTACTAGAATCAAGATGAAATCTATAAAGTCCATGTTTGAGAAGCTCAAACCAAAGAGTGTATTAAAGAGAAGGGGAAATTCTTTATAACTTAAGCTAGGCTGAATATTTAACTTTCTCACAATGGAGCAAAATAATCCCACAGTTTCCCAGATATATTTTGCAAAAATATTGTAGCAAAAGTGAAAGGGGGCCCTTTTATCTATGCCTTAGTAACATAATGAATATAAAGTTTCACCTTTCTAATTCATCCCCCTCCCTACAAAAAAAAACAAAAACCTTGGTTTTGTTGTTCAGTCTTGTCCATCTCTTTGTGATCCTTTTTTGGGTTTTCTTGGCAAAGATACTGGAGTGGTTTGCGATTTTACCAATGAGAAAACTGAGGCAAATAGGGTTAAGTGACTTGCCCAGAGTCACACAGCTAGTGTCTGAGGCTAGATTTGAACTCAGGAAGATGAGTCTTCCTGACTGACTCCTGGTCCAACACTCCACCCAGGACACCACCTAACTATCCCAAAAGCATTATAGTTAGTGGGAAATCCTAATCCAGTTATCCTTATTTAATCTTAATAAAGGGATTGCTTCTAATTGAATTATTAACACAACACAATTCACAGACAATACACATTTCCTATCTTGTCATTCTTCTTGCTTCTCTGGAGGAATTTTGGTCTCTCAAATTTAAAGCTTTATCATTTGAAAGTAATTTTTGTTCTCAAGTAGGTGATTTCCCTATAAATGTTTTAAGACACCTAAAGCAGTCCTCAGTGAGAGATCTTCTAGTATGGAAACTCCATCCATCACATCTGTAATTTACAGGATTAGCGATTTCTCTGGGGTAATGAGAGATTAGGTGATTTGCCAGTAGTCACTGGTATTTATTAAAGGGAGAATTTGATCTCAAATGTTCCTGACTACTAGCCAGCTTTGGGTCCATTGTTCTATGCCATCTCTCATGTTTAAAGTTATATATTAAGAGGTAACTACTAGATTTTTGAAAATAAATACAAAAATTAAAGCACTAAAACTGAAATTTTATATCATATTTTACAAAGTAGACCAGAAAGTAGAGTAGATATTATAGTTTAACATGAAATTTTAAAAAATATCCCTAGGCCTGATTATACCCATTTGCTTTTTTCTCCCATATATATATTACAGATTTATATCGTTGTCTCTTTTTACTGCCAAATCTAACAAAATTTATTGTGGTCATAGATAATTTATTTTCATTTCCTTTTTCCAGATTAACTCATTCTGTGCTTTGTTTATTTGCCTTGGTCTTTCAAAGGTACTTATCAGGGACAGTGGACTGGAGGGATGCGCCATGGATACGGTGTGCGCCAAAGTGTGCCCTATGGCATGGCTACTGTGATCCGCTCACCCCTCCGAACATCTCTGGCTTCTCTACGCAGCGAGCAGAGCAATGGCAGTGTACTCCATGACATCACCTCTGATAGCCCAGCTGGAACGAGAGGTGGATTTGTCTTGAATTTCCATACTGATGCTGAATTAATGACTAGTAAGAAAAAAGGCTTATTTAGAAGAGGATCCCTCCTTGGTAGTATGAAACTTAGAAAATCTGAATCCAAGTCATCAATCTCAAGTAAGCGAAGCTCTGTCCGCAGTGATGCAGCTATGAGCAGAATTAGCTCCAGTGATGCCAACTCAACAATTAGTTTTGGAGATGGTGATTGTGATTATTACCCAATGGAAGATCATGTTGATGCTACAACAACAGAAGCTTACATGGGAGAATGGAAAAATGACAAACGAAATGGTTTTGGCATTAGTGAGCGCTCAAATGGGATGAAGTATGAAGGAGAATGGCTAAATAACAAGAGGCATGGATATGGATGTACAGTGTTCCCTGATGGCTCAAAAGAAGAGGGAAAATATAAAAATAATGTTCTGGTCCGTGGAATAAGGAAGCAGCTTATACCAATAAGAAACACAAAAACTAGGGAGAAGGTGGACCGAGCCATAGAGGGTGCACAAAGGGCAGCTGCTATGGCAAGAACTAAAGTGGAAATAGCAACTTCAAGGTATGTAATAGCAAAATAAATATTTTACCAGGTTGTATAAGCCAATAGAATATGCTTTATTTGTGATTCTTCTAGGAATATCTTAAAGTTCCTAGAAGTACTAAGTATAGGTAGAAAACAGATAGAAAAATAAATATTCTTAAGTGATGGGAAGATTATGTCCTTACATTTTTAGGAAATTAGGTTTCTATTGTCAAAGAGATACATATTATAAAAATTCTCTTTAAATTGCCAAATTACCAATTAATGTAGTGATGAAATTTAATTAGGTTCCACTTTCATATTCTGCCACCAAAAAGTTAACTTTCTATACCTTTGGAACACTACTGAACACAGAACATTTGAAACACTACACTAGGGAGCAAGTATTATATGTTCCAGGAACACAATATTGATCTATTTAGGACAGTACCAAATTTAAACATCCATTTTCATTTTCCTGCCTAAGGATGGAGCTTGAACAAAAAAAAGCTCTATAAAATTACTTGTATAGAGTATCTGTGTAACTCTAGTGAAGAGGCAGGATACTTCTCTTTCATTTACAGAGAAGAAAATGGTTGATGATATTGAGTTTTGGAGAATAGAAGATGAAAGCCCGGGTTGACTGGCAGTCTTCACAGTGAAATAAAAAGCTAAGCCAACTGCTATAAGCATGAAAGTAGAGTTGGAGAAAAGTTAAGAAAAAATTTAGGACATTGACTGTGGAAAATTAGAAGGATTGTTGTTGAGTACCAGCAAGGCTTCACTTGAAGCTTTGGGACATGAATTTATGGCAGATGACATCAGCTGTATTTCATGATTTTCTCTTTTTCTATGATATTCTAAAACCCCAAGAAAGAACAGAAAAAATGTGATGGAAGGGATGAGGATCTGAAGGTCAGAAGTATGGGAGAGAGGGGCAGGGGATTCTATGGAATAGAATTAAAGTGGAAGATCACTGGGGCACAACTGAATTTAGGGACAAAAGAAGTATTAGGAAGATGGAATGGGAAAATAAGGATGAGCCAAGAAAAAAGACAGATGCACGTAGTGTTAAAAAAAAATGCATGTAGTGTAAGTCAAAGAGTGAGAGAGGTAAAAGAATAGAAGATTGTGTGAGAATAAAAAATTTCAAAGTTCTGAATCTTAGAGATTTTGCAGTTCTGGGAAATGGTAAGGTCTAAGATATCAGTATACCCTTCTATGTGTATATAGTGTATATAGAAATCATGAGCACTGAGGAATTTTGTGTTCTAATTGTTTAGGGGTCATCAACATGAATATCAACATGAATATTTAAGACATAGCAAGAGATGGAGTGGAGAGAGACTGAGTCTGGCACTGATGTGAAATGGGACAGATACTTATCTCACAGAATTGTTGAGACTCTAAATGAGAAAATGCATATAAAGTGTTTTTAAAACTTTAAGGTGGTACATAAATTTCATCATTGTTAATAACAGCATGGACCTCAAAAGAAGAAAGGTTATTGAAAGTTTGTACTAGAGGAATGGTCTGGAAATAGTGATGGGGAGCCAGGGGGTAAGTCTATCCTTTTTCCGGACACTCCTAGTTTGGGGAAGTTAAAGAAGAAATGGACACCTTTGGAAATGGTTGGAAAGAATGTAATAGCTTAAGCAGCATCCAGGTTATATTCAAAGGGAGGAAGTTCAAAACAATGTGGCAGGGTGAAATATTGGAAACTTCAGATCTGTAGAGATCTCTGACACTTACTAGGTAGGGTGTATATGAGTCCATAAGAATGTCATCTTGGGGCAGCTAGGTGGTGCAGAAGATAGAGCTCTGGCCTTGGAGTCAGGAGGGCCTGAGTTCAAATCTGACCTCAGACATTTGAAACTTACTAGCAGTGTGACCTTGGGCAAGTCACTTAACTACCCCAATTGCCTCACCGAAAAGCAAAACAAGAAAGAAAGAAAGAAAAAGAAAAGAAAAAAAAGAATGTCATCTTTAAGAGTCTACTTTAAGAGGGTTAAGAGAATGAACAAATCTAGAGAGTATTTGGAAAATTGTCTCATTTTCCCGGTGTAATTATCATAAGTTTACATTTTCTCATCCCAAGTCAGAGTAAAGAGGGACTGGTCAGTGTTTCTTAGCATTTGGTGCTTGTGGCAAGCAGGAGGAAATGAAACATTTTAGGGCAGCAGCCATAGTCCTCAATGGAGGTGAGTTTATTCCCTATTCCCTGTATCTCAAGGACATTTCTTCAGAGTTTCTCAAATTCATCATCTTTTTATTTTTATCTTTCCTTGCCATTTAATTTTCCATGCAATCATAAGGTTTTATATTAATTTCATATGTTAAATTTCACTTCCTTAATTCACCCATGGATGCTTCTAGTTTTACTATATCATATTGTTTTTAACATTTGAGCAATGATTATTAATTACCAACAGCATTAATCTTTGGATTTTGTTAGCTTTAGCACTGTACCACTTTTTAAATCTGATCTCTAGTTTTACTTTTAATTTCTTTTTTTTTTTTTGACTATTGGGGTTAATTGACTTGCCCAGGGTCACACAGCTAGTAAGTGTCAAGTGTTTGGTCTAAGGCTGCATTTGAACTCAGGTCCTCCTGACTTCATGGCCGGTACTCTATCCACTGCGCCACCTAGCAGCCCCTACTTTTAATTTCACATCTAGAAATCTTTCATCTGATTCTCACCTCATGGCCCTAATGATATATTAGAAGCAGTGAGTATTGGGCATATGAAAAGGATATATGAGGATAGGAATTTAGCTAGCAGATTTTTATATCCTTATCCTATTTACTTTCTTTTAAAGATTAACTTAAATTTGGGGAAATTAACCTGAATGAGGAGAATAGATTAGAAAATAATGAAAGCTTGTGTCAGATTAGATCCATGATCCGTGGTATTTAGATACTTCTTTCAGCTTTCCTAAATATCATGAAATTATTACCTGGGCTCTTGGCAGCATTGCCTTTAGTGATGCTTTTTTTTTTTAAGTGATGGGCACAGAACTGTGTTTTGTACCATTAGTTGATCTTTGGTGTCAGACGTAAGGTGTGTGCTAGGTGTACCAGTGCTTCTTGTGAAGCATTCCCATTGGCTCTACCTCTAAAAAACAAAGTAGAATGTCCATACCACGTGAAATTTTGTTATAATAGAAAAATGTGGTTTCATACATTTTCCATTTCATGATTAAGCTAAGTAAATAATTGACCTGAGGGGAAAGGAAAGAGTCAATAGAAATACTCTTGCACTGGTGTTCACACACTCAGCCCACACTTCATGCTCACCCACGGTGCCAGGCAAGGCAAAAGTGTCAAACCCACAAAACTCCCTGGTACTGCCTGAACTAGATTAAAATATAAATGGGGAATGTTTGACAAAATTACTAAAAAATACAATGCAACATACATAATGTTAATTTGTAGTATTCTAAGTTGACATGCAGTCCACAGGGATCCATTTCTATTTCTTTGATACTGCTGGTATAAGACCTTATACTTTTGTCCATTAACACACTTTTTGAAGATTAAATATGGACCTTTAAAAACTTTATTTATCCTGTCACATTTGACTCATTTTCCTCATTTCCATTGGTACTATTTTATGTTAGCTATTATGATTTCTATTCATTTTCTCTTTGCAGTGTCCCAGTCTTTATATTTCTATGTTTTTCTTAATACAAAAAGAGAAAGGAAAAAAAAAGTCTTGCTAGATTTTCTGAAAATATTGCTTGGGGGAAAAGATACTATGTACATTATTGTCATTATGTGTTGGTATAGCATTTTATAGAGTCAGAATTTCTAATTAATTCTTTCCCCACTCCCCCAATGGCTATTAGTTTGTATCTTATTCTTGAAGTACAGAAAGATTTAGAACTTCAGGTGACATAGTGACAGAATCAAAGTTAGAAACCAGACTCTTCTATCCACTTTCCCACTAATTAACCCACTAGATCATTCTCTCAGTAAGAGAGAGGGAAATCAATTAGCAGCTATTAGTTAATTTATATTTTGAAGTTCACCTAGGGGTTGTGTCTACAATATATTTTAGCCTTGACCTCCTCTGTACTCCAAGGATTTTATAGTTCATAAATTCAGAGAAGAACCTCTTCATTACTCCCGTTCATATTTTGCCTTAGAGTCAAGCCTATGTTTGACTCTTCAGGAAAAATCACTCTTCCCTGAGTTATCAGTCAATGATATTTATCTGAAAGATGTTCATAGGAGTGACATACTGTATTAAGAGGCTATTCTGAGAATGTAGGCCACCTACACATTAAGCAACCTGTGGACTCTGAAATAAATAGTCAACATTGGAAAGCTAATCTGTGTCTGTGCTGTACACAGAGAATTTTCCTCTAAGGATTTATGAAAACATGCTCCCTGATCCATGAAAGGAAGTTACTTAGCCTAGAGGTATCTAGGTGGTTAGAGCACTAGGCCTGCAGTTAGGAAGTTCAATTGCTGCTTCAAATACATACTAGCAATCTGACTTACTATCAAGTCACTTAACCTCTGTCGCTTCAATTTCCTCAACTGTAAAATGCAGATGATAATAATTACCTATTCAACAGGGTTGTTGAGAGGATCAAAAGAGAATATTTGTAAAAATGTCTTGCACAGTTTAATTATGCTTATTCCTTTACTTTATTCCCTTCCCACTCAACATTAGTTACCATCAATTGCTAACTAATAAGTAAAAACTATTTGCAAGTAAAACCACAAAAGAGTCAGGTAGCTAGCAGTCCCATGAAGCTTTTACCTGTTTTGTAGGTTTCTTTGTTTATTCAAAAGGTAGCATTTATATCAATAAGACCCCAGTGCAATAACCTGTTTTTCCCATGGTACTCTGCCTTGTCTCTTTGGGGTTGTCATAACCTCACAATTATCAGCCTTGGTTGAAAAAGGACAAATTTTGAGATGGTCACAATCTCAATTAGAAGTGATTTCAGAGGTCATAAGAGTCCGAGAGGGAGAAGAAATATCCTTGGACTGTGTAAAAAATATTGAACTTAATTCTCTCAATTCCT